CCAAACCCCACTCTAGGATAGAGATGGAGCTATCAACGACCACCTCCGTGAAGTTGGGCTAACATTCCACTTACTCAAAGATGTTCCTGGATTGATCTCAAAGAACATTGAGAAGAGCCTAATAGAAGCATTCCAACCTTTGGGACTTATTGGAACTCGAGTTTTTGGATCGCTCACCCAGGCGGGCCTGCTAATTTGGACCAAGTTGAGATAACATTGGGCCTATAGTCCAAAAAAACTTCGGGCTACAAGACAAGTGTTGATTGACTATGGAAATATGTCTAGTTCTTGTGTTTTGCTTATTTTGGATGAAATGAGAAAAGCCTCAGCAAAAGAAAGGCTTGGTACAACTGGTGAAGGCCTTGATTGGGGTGTACTTTTTGGATTTGGGTGAATTTGGGCCTGGGCTAACAGTTGAGACTGTTGTGCCTCATATTGTCTCTACTTAAGGGCCGTTTGGTTACTAATTTTGATATAATATTTGGGATTATATTTACTCCGTATTTGGTTGGGTAAAATATTATGAATTATCTATCCATTTAAGATGTGGGATTATAATCATGTGTGGTATTTGCTTATATTGTGGGGAGATCAAAGTATTGAATTGATTTTCTATGTAACGTTAAATATCTTTAATTTCCTTAATTATGTATTTTCTATCTTCTTAATGGCACTTATGCAAATAATATAATTTGTAATGCAAATTACTCATAAGGATGACCCTTTGTCTCTCTCTTCTTTCCATCTCTAGATTATAATTTAATACTAGTTTTTGTTAATTATAAATATTTTAATACCAAGTAAATATTATGTATAAGTAAAATAAATTATAATTGATTTCTGTTTTATTTGATGTTTTTGATAGCATCTTGAGAATGTCATTATATACCTTGTTTTTATATAATACAGATTATTCAGATATAAAATATACGATATAAACTGAAGGCAGAATAGTAATATAAGAGTTTAAAAAGAAAACTATATAATGTTGTAGTTACAACTATAGTTTTCTATTCTTATGTAACATAAAACTCAAATGCATTTATTTTCGGAATACATTTTTTTTTTAAAAGGCTATTGTCACGACCCAAAATTCATTTGTCGTGATGACACCTAACCCAACCGGCTAGGTAAGCTAACTAATAAGTATTCAATTCCAATTGTATTTAATAAGACGATTAAATAAAAGAACTTATCCAAATCTTATACATTTCCCAAGGACTGGTAGTACAAATCATGAGTTTCTAAGAATAGAGTTTAAAAGCGGGTATGAAGTAAATACATCATCTGTTTGGAAAGTACATAAACAGAGTTTTTTATATCTAAGTCTACCATGAATAAGAGGCATCTACAACTGGAACGCATGCACTTCTTCAATCCCAGCTTGCGTTGATCACAACAACATTTGCAGCCAACATCTGCACGCAAGGTACAGAAGTGTAGTATGAGTCAAACCGAACCCATGTACTCAATAAGTAACAAACCTAACCTTAGGTTAAAAGTAGTGACGAGCTAGAACAGAGGTCGGGTACAACGTACAATAGCCAACAACAGTTCATACCAAAGCAAAGCAAGTAATAAAACAAGTGACTCAGAGATAAAATGCTAAGCCTTTTAATAGTTTTCCAAAAAATAGTTCCGCTTTTCAAGTATGTCAGTGAAAACCTAAATCCTTTACCAAAATCGTTGAAAATATGAATAAGTTTGAAAACTATGAATTTTTCCCAAAAATCCTTTCCACAATAAATTACATGGTTCATTTTCTTTCCAGATAGCAAGTGTGAAATACCTTTCTATACCCACGTATCAATATGTGTGAAAAGTCATGAATGACTTGATATTGTACAACATGAGAAAAAATGCATCTTTATGCATGTATGTCATGTGTGCATGCCAATGTCATGTATCTCAGAGATGAATCATGTACTCACACGCTCAGAGTACTCAATCTCACTGATTCACAGTTTTTGCTCATCATGCCCAATCACTCAGTACCGGAAATGGACAATCCGGCCTAGCGAAGATCCATCCCGGAATATATACATCAACTGACTAACAGTCACTCGGTACTGAGTAGGGCCAATCCAGCTCGTGGAGAAGATCCATCTCTAGGTATATAATGCTTCGGACAAGATCCATTTCCAGGGAAGATCCATCCCTTAATATACTCAACTGCACTCACTGGTTGTGCACCGACTCCGGAGGGGCTCCTACAGCCCAAACGCTATCATAAAATCAGTATAACCACTACGGCGTGCAGCCCGGTCCCATAACTATAACTCATAATCAGACTCTCAGCCTCACTCAGTCATCAATCTCTCCAGTCTCACTTATGGCATATTGTCGTGAAACTAGCCCGACAACAATAATATGATGTATCAGTAAAAAACAACTGAGACTGAGATATGATATGAATGCATGAATATGACTGAGTACGAAATATCAATGAAATCAGTGAGATGACAACAAGAAACGACCACTGTGGGTCCAAGGAATATCGGCATAAAGCCTAAACATGATATCTCACATGATTGACAACTCAATTACTTTATCACATGGTTAAAACTCAAATATCAACAAACTAGGTCGACTATATAGTGCCGTGAAGACAACAGAGTCATAATTCACAAGGTTCTCGCCCACACGCCCATCAACTATCATGTGCGTCACCTCAATACCAATCACACAACACGTAATTCGGGGTTTCATTCGCTCAACACTAAGTTTAGAAGAGTTACTTACCTCGAACTGGCCAAATCTAATATAGAGCAAGCCTAGTAATGCTCCAAAAATACACTGCCTCCAAACAACTCTATGCAATCGCGAACGTACTCATGCGAACACGAAGCACATAGGCGACCAAGCTTCACGAACGTGTCCAGTAATACGCGAACGCGTATAAGAAATTCCAAATTCCCAACTGCCCAGCTTAACACTATGTGAACACAACCTCATTATGCGAACGCAAAGAAGATCTTGCCCCAACTGTACACGAACGCGAGACTTGCTTCACGATCGCGGGACTTGCTTCATGGTCGCGAAGAGCAATTGATGCTGCCATCAAAATACACTACATGTTCGTGACACTTGCCATGTGAACGTGATAAAGAAATGCGACACGAGATATCAGCAGAACACAATAGTGAAAAATAAAGGAAAAAATAGTCTAAAACCCGTATGAACATACCAACAAGTTCCATAACATAACACATACCTACTCCAAGCCTCATGACACAACTAAAAGTATTTCGGTTAATGTTTTGATTAAATGGACCTGGACTCATATTTTGACACTCTCGGTGGGCCCGTATCGAAATATGAGACCTGGGCATATGCTCGGAATCAAATTTTGAGGTCCCTAGCCCGAGATATGAAATTTTGATCAAAATTGAAAGTCTGAACATAAAATAGTTTTAAGAATTTAGTTAATGTTTGATCTCGTTGGTATCTAGTCCGTATTTTGGTTCTATAGACCGGTACGGTTTCATTATGATTTTAAGACTTTTCTGCAAAATTTGGTGAGAAACGGAGTTGGTTTGACGTGATTCAGACATACGGTTGTGAAAATAGAGGTTTTGAAGCTTTCTTGAATTTTTTTTTTCAATTTGATGCTAAATTCGTAGTTGTAAGTGTTATTTTGGCGATTTGATCACGCGAGCAAGTTCCGATAGTGTTTAAGGACTTGTGTTCATGTTTCATTTCGAGCCCGAGGGCTCAGGTGAGTTTTAGATAGGCTACGGGATGTTCTGAACTTAGAAAATCTGGTATTTTTGCTGCTACAGCTATTCTGGTGTGTCCTTTGCGTTCGCAAAGATACTCTCGCAAACACGAAGGATAGGCTGGTCAGGGTGAGTTTTTCTTCTTCATGAACGCGAAGGCCTTGTCACAAACTCGGAGTGATGGGGTCTTTACCATTCGCGAACGCGACCGGCTTATCGCGAATGCGAAGCATTGGGGACCTGGGGGAAGGGTCAGACTTTCTTTCTGTGCGAACGTGAGCACGGGCTCACGAACACGAAGGCTAGGGGGGAAAAGTATTCGTGAATGTGATGGAGGTTTCACAATCGCATAAGTCTAGCAAGGCATCTCTTCGTGAACGCAATGAACAATGTCGCCCAGTCCACAAAGAGTCCCAAAACGGGACTTGGGTCATTTTTTCAAATCTTCAAAAGCTAAACGGCGTAGAGGTGATTTCCAAAAGACAATTTCATCCCCAAATGTGTTGGTAAGTGATTCTTAACCACTTTTTTTCAATTGCCCATTGTATTTCATGAAATTTCAACCTAATTCATCGTAGAATTGGGGTTTTTGGGTAGAAACTAGGTATTTTGGAAATTGGGGATTTAGACCTAGAATTGAAGTCGAATTCAAAAACAAGTTATATATCCGAGCTTGGAGGTGAATGGGTAATGGATTTTTGTCCGAACCTCAGGTTTTCTCCAAGCAGGCCCTAGGTCAATTTTTGACTTTTTGGAGAAAAGTTTGGGAAATCTAAATTTATGCATTGTAGTTGATTCCTTTAACAATAATTGATGTTGTTGAGTTAATTGTGGCTAGATACAAGTAGTTTGGAGGTGGATACTAAAGGAAAAGTGGTAATTGAATTTGAGTGGCCCGCGGAGCTAGGTAAGTTTCATGTCTAACTTTGGCTCGAGAGAGCATCGAGTGGCCTAGAGCTCAAGCAGCAGCACTCGTGGTGGAGCCTCAGGTAGAGTTTGATGAGGAGGCTCCAGCCCAGCCCGTTCCAGCAGGGCCAGCTCAGGTTCTTAAGGGATTCATCGTTACCCTGGTACTTTAGGATGCTTTTGTCCGTCTAGTGGGCCTTATAGAGAGTGTGGCACAGGCCAGAAAATTTCATGTAGCACCAACCTTATCTCAGGCTGGGGGAGGAGCACTGACTTCTGCTACCCACACTCCGGAGCAGATGGCTCCTCAGTTTTAGACTGCAGCAACTCAACCCGTTGGGGTAGTTCCAACGGGTGTTGCAGCACAGATCGGTGATGGATCCGCTATGTCTTCTGAGGCTTTGTGGAGATTCGATAGAGAGTGTGGAGGCAGTTCGAGCATCTGCAGCAAGGTTCTATGACTATCACTCAGTACGAGACTCGATTTATAGATCTGGCCCGTCATGCTATTCTCTTGCTTCTTACCGAGAGAGAGAGGGTGATGAGGTTTATTGAAGGACTTTCTCAGCTTATCAGATTGCAGATGGCTAAGGAGACTGGGAGTGAGATTTCTTTCCAGGATGCAGCCAATGTTGGAAGGGGAGCTGAGATAGTTTTACCTCAGGGGAGAGGTCAGTGGTCTAACAAGAGGCTGCATCACTCCGGTAGATTCAGTGGTGACTCATCTTTGAGTTCGAGGTACTTTCGGTAGAGGCCATCCTCCTAGGCCATTTTATTAAGCACTCCAGGAAACCCATGGTGCTTCAGGTGTTTGTGGTGCTCACATGCATTAATCGTATAAGCTAGCTCCAGTGCACCACCAGCTCCTATAATTGCACCTCCTATTTAGAGTTATTACTATGGTCAGTCGGCCCGTTCAGGTAATTCTCAATTTTTACGGCCATATTATCAGGATGAATGTTTCGAGTGTGGTGGCTATGAGCATATCAAGAGGACCTGTAAGAGATTATTGGGCGTTCCGCCACAGCAGCAGAGTTCTCGTGCCATGATTCCGGCATCGGGTGCAACACTGCCTACTAGGCCAGCTAGAAGTAGGGGTTAGGGAGCCTAGAAGTCAGCCCGTCAAAGGTAGAGGTAAGGCAGTTAGAGGTGGAGGTCAGGATGCTAGAGGTAGAGGCCAACCAACAGGAGGTCGTCCTATAGATATGGTTCAGAGTTGTTGGGCCCAGCGCTGATGTTATGCTTTCCCAGCTAGGCCTGAGGCTGAGTCATCCGATGCGGTTATCACTTGTACTGTTTCAGTTTGCAGTAGAGACGCTTCAGTTCTATTTGATCCAGGGTCTACATATTCTTATGTGTCATCTTACTTTATTCATATTTGGTTGTGCCCCGTGATTCCTCGAGTGCCCCTGTATATGTGTCCACACCTGTGGAGGATTATATTGTTGTAGATTGTGTCTATCGTTCGTGTGTGGTTATTATTGGGGGTCTTGAGACTAGTGTAGATCTTATACTTCTAGATATGATTTCATTTTGGTGATGGATTGGCTGCCACCTTACCATGTTATATTGTACCATCATACCAAGACAGTGACCTTAGCCTTGTCGCGGTATCCTTGATTAGAGTGGAGGGGGACTCCTGGTCATTCTACCAGCACGGTTATCTCTTATATAAAGGCTCGACGTATGGTTGAGAAAGGGTGTCTAGTTTATTTGGCTTATGTCCGCGACTCTAGTACAGAGGTTCCTTCCATGGATCGGTACCAGTTGTTCGAGAGTTTCTAGAGGTATTTCCTACAGACCTGCCGGGGATGCCACCCCACATATATATTGACTTCTGTATTGATTTGGTTCCGGGCACTCAACCCATTTATATTTTGCCATATTGTATGGCCCCGCAATAGTTAAAAGAGTTAAAGAACCATTTGAAAGATTTGCTTGATAAGGGATTTATTAGACCCAGTGTCTCGCCTTGGGGTGCGCCCGTGTTGTTTGTATGGATCGATGAGGATGTGCAGAGATTATCGGCAGTTGAACA